ATTCAACGCCAGCATGCGTTTCACGTCTTTCATGATGAATTATTATTATATGCTTAATGATGTGGAATATCCAACATCTACAGCAATAAAAAGACTGCAGATTGTTCTGTAGATTCCATCAATTAATATCCACACTGCAAGTACATTTTAAAAAAAAAACTTTTGTACAGTATCTACCATACAAATAGTGAAAATAGCCTTGGTCCTGCATCAGGGGTTCTTTCTGGTGGTTCCTTCTCGTTCAAGGTGAACTGGACCTCTGCCTGTGTTTTTTTTTTTTGAGCCTCTAGATCCATATCCAGTTTTAATTTGTCACTCCTTCCCATTTCTTTTCTTCACTGCAGGGATAAGAAAAAGACAAGAAGGTGTTTCTCAGCACATCTCCCTAAGTAAATAAATTTCAACAGTTCTGAATGCATGTTTTTCATTTATTACTCCGGGGTGCCCTAGCAGTGAGATTCTTTGTGTTTGTGTTGCAAACTCTGCACAACTTCGAAGAGAATAGAGCGTTCTGAAGCCACTGGCCTCTTTAGGGACCAACTGACAAATCCATTATGCCGGTAAATAATCGACAGAGCCGGGGGAAAGTGTTTTATTTAAGAGTTATGAGTCACAGGCCTCTCGGCACCTTTAGTTACAGGGTTTGTTTTGCAGGTGTGGTGGGTTTCTCATTGATCTGGATGTTTCTCCTTGAAAGCTGCCTTGAACTAACTAATTTAAGAGAGAAAAGGACACTGTGAAAGCTTCCCATGAAATGCATCTTTGTTTTTGAATATTCTTAATACATTATCTCCTGAAATAAAAAAGCATAGTTTTGTTTTTTATTGAATAATGATGTCGGCACATACAGTATATCGAGTGTAAGTCATAATCACCCTATTATTGAGCATTCTTTCCTCATAGTACAGTATTAATATGTATATCTTCAATTTAGTTTATGCTATCACTTTTTCTCAGCATGGGTTCTATTCACATTTTAATTAATTTCTGTGAATACTCCGGTTGCAATAAAGCTTCGGCAACCAGAAAAGATTGAGATATTTTATGATTTAGAAAGAACACATTCATTGTGCACATCGCAAAGTGTGCCTTTACTCTGAGCCCATGTTAATTATTAAAAGAAATCTTTCGATCTACAGTCTGTTGTGTAAAGGACATAAACCATTAAATAGTTCAGGACAGCTGCAACAATAAGGGAAGTTAATGCTCCTTCATGATCTGCTTTTTGATCGATTTTAAAATCGGGTATGATTTTGTGCCTGCAATACCTACAATGAAAAAATCTGCTGTACTTCAGATTATAACATTGTTATGATATATTCGATTTGACTCATATATTTTCAGATGTCCTCTTACAACCTGCTTCCAGAAAATATCAGGAGTCACTGGTGAAATGGATCAGGGATGATGTAACAGATGAAAAATTATTGATTGAGGCAGAGCCCAAGTACAGTAACACCTGAAGCAACTGCTTTTAATATGTTTTTTTTTTAAGGAAGAATTAATATTCCTTACAAGATGGGAAACAATTTTAAATAAATATAATGGATTCACATCCGCTTGGCTGAATACCAGCACATTGATTGACCAGTGTAGTTGCTGGCTTTTTTAATCTTATTCTAATGTCCCTTAACATAGATCCAACCCATTACTTAATGGAAAAAAAAACATTGTAGTGTTTTTAATAAACGTATATAATATTACTTTTTTCCTGACAGACATTTGCTATGGGAGATGCTTCTAACGAACCATTAACATAGTAATATAGGTAGCTATACAGTATATTGTTATAATATATTTAAACATTTTTCATGGGGAGTTTCCACTTTTATCATTATCTAACAAGAGCACAGGTTTTTGTTGTGTTTTTTTCTAAATTGAATCTTAGAACAGTCTTCAGCAGTTCTGGAATGTAAATTAGAAAATGTAAACCAGATGACTTTCCTTTAATACTTTATGAAGCTGTGCACTAAGCGTTTTGTCCGTTTTCTCTTCAGAGTGCTTTCAAGTCAGATCATTTTGTGGGATGCTTCAAGAGACATAATTGTCTTGTTTACACCAAAATCCATTACACCTTTGATGACCTAAAAAGATGTTCGAAAGTCTTCATGAGATCTGATATATAAGGGGAGAGGGAAAGACTGTTTCTTCATGACCTTTATGAATAGACACTTGTCCCTTCCTGCATTTACTGTATGTACTGTATGTATACTATTTTTGTAAAGCACAGAAAGGTACTGTAAATATTAATCCTATATCGTTACTAATGAAAATGGATTAACTAGTCCACAAACGCCTGTAGTGTGATGAGATAGGCAAAAGACAGATTTTAAATTTTCTATTTGTTATACAAAAGACATAATGCAGAAATAGAGTGTGTATAATATGGTACAAGAGGTTTCAGGAGGTTTTTTCCTTTTAACTTGCCTATCATTACTTATTAATACATTTTTTATAAATAATTTCTGAGAAATCCCAAGACTAGAGCAGCATCTAGTTTTATTGTTGCTTTTCCTGAATGAACAGGCTAGATGTATATTTTAGGAGATTTACGGTTAGGTTTTCCTTTAATAAACAGGATGGAGTTCTACAGTTGTTCAATAATTAAAGTCTTATTAACCATTTATACTGGACATGCTATTCATGTTGTGCCTCTGTGGATCAGAAGGTCATGTAGTACATGCTCTATGTAGTACTTAGATTAGTAATACATGCTGTATGCAGTCCTTAGATTAAATATTTATTCTGTTAATATTTGGTTGAATTGTCCCTCTTGTCCAGCCAAGATGATAGTTAATTTCTCTATTTCATAAATTCAGTCTGTATTTCTCAGTTCCTCATTTTGATGGACAGTTTCAAGCACCAGTCCAAATCAGAAAACATGCACCATTGCTGCAGGTTCTACAAGGATACATGATACATTCATTACTTACAGACTGACCTTTGGTGCCATGGGGTTTTTAACAAAGCATTTGTTTTGGAAAGGGAAGCCTTAGGTCATACAGAATGTATGATTTTATAGCCATTCCAACCACCCCACACACACGCTCACCATAGGCCCTCCAAGAGTGTTTTTCCTTAATCTCCAGTCATTACTGTGGCACTAAACGGGGAACCAAAACGTGGAGGAAGCACCTAATTAAGAGTGTCTTGTCTTGCAGAGTCATTAAATGAAGAGCACTATGATATTTTAAGGAAAGGTTTTGCCTTCCAGAATACCGCAGTATAATGCCTGATCTTTTCTATTTGTGGATTACAAAGCTCTCCTTGCTTTCTCAGCCCATGAAGAATCCACATCGTCAAGTTGCTAAGAACATTTTGTACTGTTTAACTGTTCTCAGAGCTTAAGAAGTTGGGAAACTTACTGAAGATTTGATTACTGTTTTTTATATATGCATTAGTCTTTTAAGTTTTATACAGATAAGGAATCTGCAGATACGTATTGATTTAATTAAATATTCTCTTCACCTTGAGCACATTACTGCCCCTTTGTTAATCTCCATCCTGAATTAATAAGAATAAGAGACAACAGGACATTTTTCCTTCTCAGTTGGTAGTCAGAATCCAAAACCAAATACAGTATAACTTCTATTACACTTTATTCATTTTATTATTCATTATACCCAGCATGCTCACTAAATTATAATTGTATGTGTTTTATGTGTACTTTTGGATTTAAAATACATACAGTATTGGTCCTGCATTTTAATAAACTACTTGATAAAAGAAAAATACCGATCTGGTTTAGATTTTTAATTAACTTAAGAATGTTTAAGATAATGATAAATATTTATGTGTGTCAGTTTATACACCATATGAGTGCATATGTGCAGTATTTTATTTTTCTTTTGGTATTTGGGCATATCTTTGGTCTTGGAAACCATGTTCTGTTCACATGCAGCCTATTGTAAAGTTGTTCTGCTGAGAGTAGTGATGTGTGAAGGTGCTGGTTTATAAATAAACTGTTACAGACTACACTGTAATCTCAAGCTTTCCAAGAACATCATAAAAGACAACGCGTCACCTCTCTGTTCCTCTTTTAAGTCCGATAAGAACCAGAAAGTCCAGCGGTACATAGATGGTGGCCATCAGATTCTAACTCTCTAAGTGTGCAGCCTAGCTTTATGAAACAGATTTCTCCTTAATTGCATAATTAAATTGCAGGAGAACAGCTAATTTACCTAACTGCTACTAGGAATTCTTTTTCTACCAACAAAAAGAGGAACCAACTTTTCTCACTCTGGGTCGAGATGAACAAACACCACAGTACGTGTGTTCAGGACCCAGCCTTTAACACACCTCAAAATGTCTGAGTTGCAAAGTCCATACAAACCTCAAAAACCCTTAGATCAAAAGGCAAGTTATTTTTCCATCTTGCCCTGTTATTTCAAAATAACCTGTGATATTTTACTCAAAAATGTGTTTTGCAGTCTTGTAAAAGATTAGAAAAGAAAGCACACTACATGCAAATTGCTAACATTGTCATACGAAATATGCCAGATTAATCTTTTCTTTAAAGAAATTTTCTTTTAGGCATGGATTGTAAATAATCTCTACATTTGTCATGTGCATTTATTTTTTGTCTCACTGATACAGATTATATTTTGTTGGTATTTTGTGCACTCTTCGGAGACCATATAATCTCTTCTCATCTGTATTAAGAGATAATATATAGTCCTAAAAGAGAATATTAATGCAATACCATTAGTGGGGTTACCCTCTATGGAGTCTCTTTAAAGAGAGACTCAAAGAGAATCAAAGAGTTAATCTGAATGCAATCCCAACAAAATATGTAGTGGTTCCTTCACGCGATTCGTATTTCACATTGTTACAGTCGGGACATCAGAAAGTTAAAGTCTTTGTTCATCATTTACACTGTTTCCAGGCAGAAAACATATTAGCCGCTATATAAAGGCATAGATAGGTAGACAAGCTGTGTGAGGGCTTGATGCTTAATTGGTTGGTGGAAGATTTATGCATGGTTTGGTTTCCCAAACTAGATCTGTCAGGAAAATTGTAAGCACTTCGGCTGTAAGTGTCTGAGCCCAGCAGCAGTGATGATGTCTGTACCAGAGGACTCTGAGGTTGGTAAATACCGATTGTAATAAAATGTGACAAACTGCACAGTAAAATGAACAGTGGACTAAAACAAAGGGGTTTGTGATACTTTGCTTCTCAAACTGCGGAGATTTGTGTAACTGTATAATCTTATCCTGCACTGTTTTAGAAGTCTGTTTTTTCTCAGTGTTGTGAAAATGAGTTCCATTGAAATCCTGTTCGGCTCACAATGGCACCCTTCTTGCCATCTTTTTCTTCTGCAGCAAGCGTTAGATGCAAACCTCAGCAACCTGATTAAGAGGAACAATGAACTGGAAACTCTAATGAGCAAGCTGATCCAGACATGCCAGCACGTCGAGGTAAGTTCTTCGTTGCTACCAGCAAGGATGCTCTTCAGTGCTGTCAACTTTGTGCAGTTTCACTTGTAGCGTATATGCTGTTTGAACCTCAGTCTCCACAGTGAAGGTTTTGTTTTTGGTTTCTTATACGAGGTAAGAGACCTTCAAGTTTCCCCAGCCTTCAGTTACTGTTGATATAGCAATATAATATAATATCAATGCTTCATTATTTCCCAGAAAACAAAATGCATGGCCAGAGAACTAGATTCCCTTTCTTGGATGAACTATAATTTTTTAGAGAGAGATATTTGTGCACTTTTTAAAATTGCAGTCTGAGAATCTGGTGCTGCTGTAATCTTTTGTTTTGTTTTAGTATGGAAAACAAATGGTGATTTGTACAGTGAATCCATATCGTGTCAGAGGACCAGTAATATATTTTTTTTTTATTATGATTATTATTATTAACTTGTTGGCACAGCTAGGGAAGGCAAGTCAGGTATTTCCAGCGATTCAAATTCCTGGCTAATGTTTTGGGTCTCTATGGAAATGTGAAGTTAATTTATTAAAGGAAGGGAACAAGAAAGGATGTCTCTGTTTTTGGAGTTATTTAATTATTTCCCTAGGTTGCAAATGAGTTGAATGAAGTAATGAATGCTCATCTTTATGAAAGCCTGCGACTATTTTGAATGGTATATACTGTATACACCATCCATGTTATATAACAAAACATAAGTATTACTGTGTTATCATACATTATTTCTGTTAATTCCTTCTGACTGTTATGGATTTCATGTTATTATTTTTAATTATGCAAACTATCAATTCAAATCAATTTATTTTTAAATAGCGCCTTTCACAATAAGGTTGTCCCAAGCAATGCTATATAACACAGCGGTATATCTAAAAAAGTTCGTCAATCTGATCTTTCCAAATGAGTCTTTAAACCCTACTTACCTTTTGTTCATTATATATATTTCTAGACCAATGGGTTCAAAAATCTGCTTATGAAGTATACTGTACAAATTTGTCATCACCCACTTTGAAGTTTCTAATTTGTACTGTATATTGTTTCATACCATTTAAGTTTTTTCACAGTATTTTAAAACTTTTTTTAAACTACCTTTTAGCCATATTTTCATACTAATTCAGAACCTTGATATAAAATGTGCTGTACAATCTATGAAAAAAGCAGGGCACGTACAAATAGCACGTGTGTTTCACCTGTGGGAATTTTGCTTCACTGCGTGTACACATATTTGCCTGTGTAGGTTTTACAGTGTATTATTCAAGGAGTGCAGCTGTCACATCTGGCTCAATGTTAGTGTCAGATCTATTGATTCAAACTCTTCAAAGGTTGATCATTCTCAACCAGCCCATGTTATATAAATGTTGAAAGAACATTTCACATCCAGAATGGAGTACAGAACACAGAAGTTGTTCTTGGGTTTGAAACTGAACAACATAAGAGAATATCCATTGTGGGGAATAAACATACTGTACATTTACAAATGAATAGGACCCTCTGTCATGGTTATTACTGGCAGCTCAAGCATGCAACATGCATTAAGTCTTAATCTTCAGATTAAGACCTTTAGAATATTTATTTAATGCAAGGAGCCATCTGAAGAAGCAATCTTTCTGTTTGATTTTCTCTTCAGTATTGTAAGCACCAATGGTTATTACTGATGGTTAATATAATTCTTGTTTATATATAAAGAATGGGTTCAGTATGGCAGGATTATGGAGCATCCAAGAGGCTCAGTCTTTCAGGGCTATGAGAGCTCAGGCTAGGGTTATGGTACTCTCTGAATCTGACCAGGATTAGTTAGACAGTGACGTCGGTAAGAGACATGCTACTCCGCCAATCAGCGCTAACCCTCTTCTATGCCACTGCAGTGCCCAAGTGTGTCATTTTCAATTTATGGTTATGAATAACAGTAATTAAATTCCCTCAGTATTTAAAAAAAAGTTTGGCAGATGTTTGTCCACAATACCATAGCATAACCTTCAGAGTTCCCGTTCTTTAAAACGGTAAATCTCTTGTCAGATTTAAGTGACCAAAAAATGTAAGTACTCTGAAGTGTTCAAAAATAAGATTTAACCCTGCTGTGTACATTGCTGAATCCCAGGGGTCTTTTTGTAATTAAACTTTTTTCTAACAAACATCATGGTTTATACCAGCAGCCAGATCACGCTGCAGGTCTCAACTGGCTACCCACTGAAGCTGAGCAGGGTGGAGCCTGGTCAGTACCTGGATGAGAGACCTCCAGGGAAGCTGTGGTTGCTGCCGGAAGTGGGGTAGGGGGGGGGGGGGGGCACCCACCCTGTGGTCTGTATAGGTCCTAATATAGTGGTGGAGACACTGTACGGTAGCTGGGTGCCATTTTTCGGATAAGACGGTCCTGACTCTCAGTGGTCATTAAAGATCCCCGGGCATTTCTCGGGAGTTATCCCGGTGTCCGGGCCTAATTTCCCCCCTCATCCTTTACCATGACCTCCAAATTGTCCCCATGTGTGATTGGCTTGCACTTGCCCTGCGATTGACTGGCGTCCTGTCCAGGGTGTACCCTGCTTTGCGCTTGTTGCTTGCCGGGTAGGCTCCGTCTTCCCGTGACACCGTATGTTATAAAGTGGTTTGGTAAATGACATGACATGACATGACATCATGGTTACACTAAAGCTTACAGTCCAGCATCTGTGACATTGTAAACATCAAATGCTGTCACATCACAGCTTCACACAGAATGTGCCGTGTTTGCTGTTGATTAATGAGAAATGTAAAACCCAATTACAGCACTTTCAAAGAATTTCTCCTTTAAAACAGGATAAACCATTGAAATCTGCAATTGGTTTGCGAAAAAACTTGATCATTTAAGGAATACAAAAAGGACATTAGGGCATTTTCTGTGATGAGTATATATTAGGTGCAACTCAGAGGTGCTGCCTTGCAACGTGCATGGAGTTTATATGTTCTCCTTGAGTTCATGTGTGTTTCTTCTGGGTGGTCTGATTTCTTTCCATAGTCCAAAGACTTACGGTACTGGCAGGTTAATTGGCTTCTGGGAAAACTGGCCCTTGGTGTGAGCGTGTGCCCGTTTGTGACCGTGTGTTCCCTGCGATGGACTACCGTCCCGCCCAGGATATATCCTGCCTTGTATCCATTGCCTCACGAAATAGGCTGTGCTCTCCTGTGATCTTTTGGATAAAGTGGTTACAAATGGATGGATTATAAATTAGAACAGATTTAAAGGCCACATAATCACTATATTGATATTAAACCATACAGTATCCTACCTAGACGTCGAGTCTGATTATTTATTGTTCAGTACAGTTGGATTGAGGCACATTTGCAAAGCTACATAAACATCATCTGTGCAGCCTCCAGACATGCATAGCAGTTGGCGGTGAACCTCAGAATGTCCTGACACGGGCTGACTCTTGCCCAATCAGACATCAAGCGCGTGCATGCTGTAAAAGCCCTGTGGAAACACTTGCAACAACAGGGGACAAAAATGAAGATTGCTTTCATTTATGAAAATGGAATGCCTACATTTAACATATGTGAATATTGCATTATTGCAAATTTAGTGATGTCTACTGGTGAACAGATGGAAGACCTATTTACATACTATATATAAATATACAGTATGTATTTAGAGTATTTTACACTTACTCAAGCTATAGCAAAAACATGAAACCTGGGGTTTAAAATCCCAAGGATGTTTTCACTACACATTTAGGTAGTTCATTAATTTGCACATTCTTACTGTATCTTACAGTACATGCACAAAATGTATTAGTTACTCATTAATAAAACAAATGAATTAAATTAATGAACTTGTGCTTTGAAGATGACACAGGCTTCATCCTCATAGCCCATCTGCATCCTCATGTAAATAAAGAAACCAGAATCTGACGTCAACTCCTTGCCTTCAACAATATGCAATTCAGAAATTACTTTGTATTATACTTGAGGAAAGTTTTGATAGTTATTTATTTTTTTGGAATTAAAACCTGTATAACAGCAAGGTCTAATAGTATTAAACTGCCAGTTCAGGACACCAATTTGAGCATTAATGTGTCCATCCATCCATTTTCTAATCGTTTTATTCAAGACAGGGTCACTGGAGCCAGAGCCTATCCCATCAAACGAGTAGCTCAAGGCAGGATACACCCTAGATGGGACACCAGTCCTTTGCAGGGCACACAAAGACACAGATACACACACTCACACTAGGAACAATTTCACAGAAGCCATTAATCTACCAGTATGTCTATGGACTGTGGGAAGAAACTGGAGCACCCAGAGGAAGTCCATGCAGACACGAGGATAATATACAAACTCCACACAGAGTGCAACCCGGTAATTTTATCTAGGCCCCCAACATTGTAAGGTGGCAATGTTACCCACTGTTTGCACTGTGTCTCCCATCTTAAGGAGTTGTGTATCTAATATTTAATCGATTCATTAACTTTTAATTATGGTGGGAATGTTTAGTATTTACTTTCCTTAAGAAAATGCAATATTGCCACCTTCTAGTCTCCTACAAGACTAACAGTTCCCTCTATTGTACTGTAGTCCTTTAATGCTCTTCCTGTATATAGACTTCAAACATAACATGCTTAACTGCCCATGCAAATATTACTAATGAAAGAGGAATTGAATATGGTATAACTGGAACTAGACAGCAAATGGAAAACAACAATAATAACAAGAACTTTTTATTCATAAAGCACCTTTCCAAACCCAAGGGCACTATACACAATGATAAAAAAACAATAAAAAGTAAATCAAAGTAAAAAAAATACATTTAAAGTCCAGTTATAATTGGCAAAAGCTTGTTGGGCTATACTATAGACGAACTTGTATATTTAGCTCATGATCATTAATAAAACAGAAAATTAAGACAGTGAAATTAACTCTGTCATCTGTATCAGTGGTGATTAGCAAAATGCTCATTTTCACATGCACAATGGTTCCACCTATTCTCTTACTTTTCCATTCTTCTGCATGTGCATTAATTTAGTGCTCAGGTGCTTTAAAAGCAGCAGCACGTTTATTTTTGCAAGGCTATAATTCCCTTCTTTTGAACGGCTGTGCCCTTTTAACACTGGCTGGATACTGTTGTTAATAATCAGCTCTGCATGCTTTTGTAAATATAAACTGATATAATATTACAGTACATTTCCTGCTTGTGAAGCAAGGTATTTCTTTAGTATTTTCAGCAAATATAGGTAAGGTATTAATGATACATTCCACATTATTTCAAGAGGTGGACAGAAAAGAAATGGAATAACATGGGATTTGGGCTTGAGAGGTGCCACTCAGTGCATACAAATTCTGAGTGGAATCAGAATAATGGAATAAGTGAGACTTTGACCCTTGCATGTTGCCTGCTGGGCTGTAGCATGCTAGGCAGTGCCTTTCCATGGTATGTCCTAAATACCAGTACATCAGGGAACCTTTTTTTATTTTAAACTACAAAGCCATTGTGCTTTCTGTTGCTGCCACACTAGCTGTGGACTGTGCTTGGTGAGGGATATGTATAAAAGCCATCAACACCTGTCCCCTCCATTATTGCCCTCGTTTTTCTGCTTTTTGTGTTGCAAGCTTTGCGCTTTGTGTTGGTTCGCTTTCATTTGTTACACACTTTTAATATGCTTTTGTTGGTTTTCCTGTAAAGAACAGAGTGCGTGTTATATTCACGGGTGGCTAGAAATGCAAAGTGTTGCTTGGCTGTTGAAAGAAACTTTCCCCGGGGCTTGTCCTCCTGGATTCCTCAGCTTTGCGCGTGGTTCAGAAGGCATGCAGTCTCAGTGACCCCACAGCCTTGTTCGTAGATTTGAGTTTACCCCTGGCATCCTGAGAAGAGTCCAGCTCCTCTCCACAAACCTGGTGCTACAGTATAAGCACCATATAAAGCAAGGATCATGTTTTATTTAATGACACAACAGTAAAATGCTCATTTTTGGGAAACTTAAATTATACCTTCTTGGTTTTCTTGGCATAATTCAAGCTGTCTCGCCTCCATGCTGCCAAGCCAGCATGTATTTCCTGAACACATTTGCTTTCCTGCCGTGACATTTCTTACTGCTGTCAGTTCCTGGAATGGAATGTGAGTTTCAGTCCCTTTGATAGCTGTCTGGTTTCCTGATGTAAGGAAACTCACCTTGATACTGTGGCGACAAACTCTTCTCCTGCAAACAACTCAAAGATAAAGACAGTGCTGTTTCACCTCGTGATTGTCCATTATTTGATTATTTTTTAACTGTATGTTAGGTAGGGTAGCAAAAAAGAACATGACTAAAGTACTTAAAGATTTTTCATTTTGAGCTGTTGCTGACCTTCCACTAAAGGCAAATGTTGCTGTTTAGAGCAACAATAATAAAACTCTTGATTGAAGAAAGGTTAATAGCATGTTTATATTTTTTGCCTGAATTTTGTACATTTGTTCAGTGCAGTGAAGCCTTTTACAATAAATGTCATGTTTAGCCTGGTTCACTGTGTCATGCTGCAATATTTAAGCAGTGGGACTTTGCATTTTAAGTATTTTTCTCTCTTTTGTCTATTCTAGTGCTATTTTATTATTTTATTTTACACAATCTAGAGAAAAAATGCTTACATAGCCCTGAGGAAACCCAGTCTTATGCGCCTAATAGTTCTGGGCGCAATAAATGATTTATGTTTTATTAGGCTTTATGAAATATTAACAATAATTGTTGTTTTGATAATTTCTCTTTATATTCGCTAACGTGTAAAATGTAGCCATCGGGCAGTGCTAATAAATGCAGAGAACTGCGTCACTTCTGAATTTTGTTTTCACACAGATGATAAAAGACAGCTGCATGAACAATACTTGGTGATAATAGCGCAGTCTTGTTATGTGACAAATATCATTCCTCAGGCTTGCTCATGTTAATATTCTGCCTTGGAAAATCTTTGTCAGCAATTATTAAAGTAGAAAAAGGAGCAGCTGCCTTAAACAATGACTGCTTTTGGGATCCTGTGAGAAAATCCTGATTGCTTTTCTGGGGACCAATTAGTTGTTGCGAACAGACTATAATGAATTGAATGACTCTCTTGTTCGTAACTACAGTACACTCTACGCAGTGTTGAGTAGGTCACTCTTGTGAGTGACCATTGCACTCCAGATTCATTAGGGCCCAACTAAAACAATCCAGTCTTTCATGCTTTGCTCACAGTTTTCACAGGTTTTGTTAAAATTAAATACTGACAGGCATATAGCATTTGAGACCAGAAAAGCCAAAGACTGATAGTATTTAAATAAAGCATCCCAGTATGTGAACATTTTTCCTGGGTATGCCTCACATGTTTTGGAAATAATTGAAAACTGAAATATTTGTCTTCCTGTTGCTGTTTGTCCAACCTTGACGTTTTACAGACCTTTCTCTGTGTTATTTAAGCCTTTCTTAAGATTATATAATAAAGACTCTTGCATGAGAAATGCTGATGCCTAGACTGAACTAGCAGGTCTGGTTTTTGTTTCTTCAGATTATTTGTAATGACTTTTTTTCGTCAGAGGAATCTTTAAAAACTGCACATTCATAAATCTGGAGTATATTTTAATTCTTAATATCACGCTGTGCCGGGCATGGTAAGTACAATAAATCGATAGTATCCTCTAACATCTTGTTTTCCTTCACCTCAGGATGTGTCTGGACTGCAGGTGTGTCATCCTGGATATGTTTTTAAAGATGCCTTGATTATACTGTACCTTCAGAGCCACCCCCTCTTAGGGAACAGTCTCATTTCTCCTCACAGCTGTCTTCTCTCTTTGTCCTATCAGGTGAATGCAGCCAGACAAGAGAACAAGCTGATGGAGGAGTGTGACCTCTTGATTGAAATTATTCAGCAGAGGCGACAAATTATTGGAACAAAAATCAAGGAAGGCAAGGTAAAAAAAATGCTTGTGCTATCAAATTAAAAAATCTCCAAACATTTTTTGAGAAAAGTTTCAGTATTTGCAGATCACTGCCTTTAAGAGCTCTGTTTGGAAAGATGCATGTGGGATTAACATTACCTCTCAGGCCTACCGTCATTGGCCTTATAATTGACACTTTTACCTATACAGTATGTCCTCACAATCCCTTTAGTCAATGAAGCTTCATTGTCCCTCGTTTGTTGAAGCTATTCATGAAGTTTTCTATGTGGGGTAAGATGGAAAGGAACTTGTAAAGAAACAGACTGTCATCAATATAAGTTTATCAATGATCATCAAGATGGAGAATTGAACTGCACATGGCAATAGTTTGGCTAATATTTGACTGTGTTCTGATTAATTTCTTCAGTTCCTCTTATAAACGCAACATTGGGACTGTTGAGAAGCTGTTTATGGTTTATTAGTTGCATTTCCAGAGGACATAAACTTCTTCCAACCCAGGTTCCCAGTTTCAAATCAATATTCCCTACTTTTACCATTCTTTATTTTTACTCAGTGACTATAGGCACATCCCTCTCACCTTTGCCAAAATGGCTGATAATGCAGTATGATCCCATGGAAGAGAAAATCCATGACTTATCTACAGCAAGACCATTCATAATAAATTAGTGTCCCATGATCTAATTTTTTAAAAAGCACCGGACCCTTTTATTAGATACACAATGTTAACATTTGAATCGTAGAAGTCGATTTTCAACCAACTTTGGAATGCTACACATTGCACACATAAGGATGCCTGCTGTTCTGATTAGACTGGTCAAACAGACCCATGACCTATGGGCGGGTATGTTCATATTTTCCTTGAGTTGTTTTTGTCTGGTGCCCTGAGGTGATTAAAGTTTTGTTTTTAGCCACCCTGACACAGGAAAGTCAACGTAACACAAGGGAGCTTTGTAGGGTAGAATTGAGTTTGTAGGTACAGATTCTTATGAGGAAGTAAACAAGTCTATCCTAAAACTTATCCAAAAGTAAACCATTTACACACTTCATCACATTTTCACAGGTAATGTCAGAACTTCTGTTTAACAGCTTGAATGAAATGATTTCCTTGAAAAATGAACAAAAAATAAGAGGCACCAAGATAATGAAACAGGCATTCTTTTGAGACATGCAGGATTCAGATTAAGTTTTTTTTTATTTTCTATTTCCATCCAAGGTGAGCTTGTTTAACAAAATCACTGAGCAATCTGACACAGAATAGTCAGAGATGAGAGGAAAGTTTTCCCCCGACACAAGTGAAGTTTTGCTCCTGGCCGCTCTCTGGAGCCTGTGTCTAAACATGCCCTGTGCATAGCTTGCAAGTTATTTCACAAATTAACTGTATGTATACTTATTCTTAAAGATTGTGTTTTATGTCTATTCAAGTTTTAGAATTTTTTAATGGACACCATTCATTTTGAGAAACCATGTTTTAATGATTAAATGAACTTTAATCTAGATACCTTTTATTATTTTGCTTTTAAATAACCCTTTAACCTGCAGTTTTGTCTTTGTTCTCTGGAATGCCATTAGGAATCTGTTCCCCTGACACTCTGTAGGGCAGGAAGGGTATGAACTGTTGTAGGTTTATTGATTTTTGACAAAGAGAATGCTCTTGAGCTTAGGAACAGGCCAGTGTTACAAGGTGAAAATTTTCCACTTGAATTAACTTACAGCATGATGGCAATTTTTAGTCTCCGTGGCTTCAAAAACACGGAGTGCAGACAGGGTAGCATTCTGCAAGATCTTTCTGTAATTTCCATTTTTCTAATTGTGAAACTTGTACAAAAACTGTTTTTTTGCCCTCAATTTTTAGGATTGTTTTTTTGACAGTGCTATTTTCTTTGTTATCTTTTGTTTCTGTGGCATTTTCCCTTTCTTTAATTTTTTGCTAGAAAGCAACTAGTTATAAAATGTGCTACATACATTTGCCTTACACTGACAACTCTTGTTTTACTAAAATGTTTAATTGCTGAATTCGTTTTCATCTGCATTCATACTTTATTCAAGCAGGTTATGTATCACTGTTAATTGTGCTACAAAATGTGGACCATTGTGCACAGCAGGCAAGTTAAGAGTAACTGGGAGAACAGAACGCCAAAAAAACAAGAATTAATTTACCCACTGTAAAGAACGTTTGGATAAGTGAAATGAAATGAGCTCTAAAGCAGACAGATTTTCTTTACAGTTTCCTGGTGTCCCACAGGAAAATGGGAGGTGTATAACGTGTTCCTAAACATTAGTGATTATCCCTAGTAGCCACACACATAAATGGAATGAATACTGTGCAGATGTACAGTTGTACTGTGTTACAATATATGAAGTGCTTAATCTTTATTTCTAAAGAACATTCTGTCTGCAATTAAATGACGTTGTTGAACTGAAAGTGACAGGCATATGTACTAAATAGGACAATTCCATTACTTCAAATAAAGCAATAAACTTTTCTATTTCTTTAATGTCAGATATCATTTTCTCTTCACCTATCGTGTGTACCATGATGGTTCTTTAGTTACTTATGGATCTATTCATTTGTCATCAGCTTTCAACTTACATTATTTTATAGTTTGCCTGCAAGTCTGAGTAAAATATCTAAGCTCCTTCTCTTTCTTTTCAGTGTCTTAAATTGATCTGATGTTAGTTAATCCGTCCTCGCATCTAAAATGCTTCCAGTCGACGTCAATGAAAGTTATGCATTTTTGAACATCGCTTCTAGTTTTGCAAAACTGTTTTTCTTAAAATCCGCTTGTTAGCCGAGAACAGTGATGCGCTGTCTGACTTCCTACTACTGAAACAGCTTTCATGTGGGATGATATATTTTTCTACATGCATAATAGTACAACTCTTTTAAACCTGGTCCCAGCAGTAGCTTCCTGGCTTTCACACAATGAACCGCAGACTACCTTTTTTGCCTTTCATAGCCACAACAAATCTTTTAACCGTTGGTCTGAAATCCCTTTATTTACATTATTTACAGTTTGGAACTAGAATTAACTGGGTTGAAAAATTTTCAGCTTCCTCATTCATTTTTTATTTTGTCCCAGGACAATGTATGTTTTACTTCAAAGGCGTTCAGAGGTCTTTAGTTACACAATACACATTTATGAAACACTTGTCTTACAGACAGCCTAGTGTCCTGAATGCACATGACCGTATTTTTATTATACAAAAATAGTCAGACTTTTACAGTACATAATTTTCAGCTGCTACATGCTGTGTGTATCTTTACAATTAAAGCTAGAATTTAAAAAAATCTAATTTTCTATTAAACTGTCCTTTACAGGAGAGTGGTACAGATACATGCATGTATATCTGGAGTGAAGTCTATATGACTACTCAGTGGGAAAGCAGTGTAATTGCCCTCAAGTGCTCAGAGATTATGATAGTACAAGAGGTGTGTTATCACACTGCTTCACTCTGTACCTAATTCAATTACATGGAAACGAAATGTGCCTTCAGAAGAAAGTCTTTTGAATTTACGTAATTCAGTGAAATATGCTGAATTCCCACAGAAACTGCTTCATGCAAAACAAAATGTCCTGTGTTTTTTTTTTCTGAAGCAGACTAGTTTGTCTTTCAGCTTTATCGTTAGGAGGGGCGTTATTTTTTATTACCTTGACATTCATCAAAATGCAACGTTTACTGAGGTTCTGATTTAACAACGTGATCTGTATCTAGCAGTTTGCACATAAAAAAAGTGCTGATCTTGAAGACTTGGGATAGGGTTTAGTGCCATCATCCTCTGTTCAGGCAAACACACAGCTGCAGTCCTTTCATTTAAGGAGAAGCTCCTTTGTTCTCAATTGGTATGAGGTGCCATTTATGCTTTTTATTTTTTGTTGATTAGAGATTAACACTGTTTCCTGAGTTCACACCTACAGTACCTGAGGTTGAATTGTCCCTTCAAGCTCTTCTAACAGATGAGACTTCCTTCCTAATTTTGTGTCAAGGCAAAAGCCGGCCTGTTCATAAAGGAAAGGCTAGAATATGTGTGGTGCAGGATTGGTACCTGTGGGAATTAGGGTTGAATTACTGTGTTGGCTTTTTGGAAAATACATTTTGAGCACTCTGCACTGTGCAAATCCCTGCATTGTTCAAAGGAAGCTCTTTGCACAGTGCCCATAAGCAGCTGAAACAACAAATTATACATGGAAGTGCTAAAGTGAAACAATACACTGGTATTTGTTTTTGTTTTAGAGAGAATTGTCTGGGCATGATGGTCCTAACTATGGTGTCATACATTATTATGTGTTTGAAAGAGGTCATGGAATGAAATGTGGAGAGAAGAATGTTTGAAATGCCCTCTGAAGGGGACATTATAATTATGTTTCTGCTTCTTTTGTTTCTTTTGGCTTGCAGTCCATCTATATATGGACTTAAACTTTCCTGTTTATTATTTCTCATTGATCTACCATCAGGCTCTGTCACTGAAGTTCCCTACGATTGAATAAATTCAGCATCCTAGGCCTGACAGCCTCTAACATGCTGACTTAAAAAACCGCATGGATTTTAGGATTACAAAATACAATTCCTTACAGTTTACACAAGTAATGACGAATATGGCATGTATGTTTTCTGTTTTTATATATAAACTTGGTCTGCTTTCAGCTTGGCCACAAAAGAAGGACATGTTGTGCATCCTGAATTTGAACTTGTGTGCGCCAGCAAAACATAACTGTTTTGTATAGTTATCAGCTTGTTGATGCACGTTGGTTGCTAGGGAGTTGTTCATTTTAATAATACATTTGTTGATTGCTATGGGCAACCTCTTAAAGTTTAAAGATGTAAATATCATAACAACCATGTCATGAACAATTTCAGCACTATTTCCTGAACAACTGCTATTCTTAAAACAAGGAGACATGCAAGCAAAATTTGCAACACCTCTTGATCTTTCATTCAATTTTTTCCCTGTGTTCCAGTAATGTACATACAGTATAAATCTCTCCCACACATGTTACATTAATTGACCGTGGATTGTTATGGCATTTCTGTCTCTTTTTTTAAACGTCATCAAAATATTGTAATCTCAAGGGTGCAATTAGTACTTTATTTGGATATTGTGTATATTATGCTTAACCTAAGCTGACATGGAAAAGGTTTATGCCTTGAATGCATATTCTCTTCCAGATGCTTGAATAAGAGTTTAGGAAATATTTTTGTGAAGGAGGAAGGGTTTCATTCATTTGTAAATCTGATATCTGGTTACCAGCTTGTAACAGTGTTTCTAATAAGATGAAAAAGGCTATGCCTTTTGAGCCAGAATGTCTGCCCAGACCGAATGTTTACATGCTAACGGAAATGCATTTGTAAATAAGATTTTAAGATCAAAGCTTAAAATGGTCTCATCTGAAGGCCTCAAGAATTGATTTGGTATTTCTTAAAATGTTATTCAGTAAACTTTGGGACAATATACAAAAGCTGGCCTCAAACAAAGGAGGTAAAAGGATCACAATCTAGAATTCCTGAAGTTCACAGTTCGAATGGCCATAGTAAGAATTGGAAAAAATAAACGTTTCTTTTCAGAATCAAACACAGTGAACCTTTCAGTGGCCGTTCCTCACAGTTTTACCATGTGACAGTATGTGAATTATTTACATTTTTATAACTCCTTGGAATCCAGCTGGGCTCTGTGGTATTTAAATGTGTTTTTGCCCCTGTATTTGCTTGCTTCGCTATGAAACAAAGTCATTCATTATTGCTGCGTAGAAAGTCCCTCAAGAAATGACGGAGAGGCTTTTGCGGTAGCGGATGTAGCTCTACACCCGACTGAACAATTCACATTTTTCTGTTTCTCTTTATTTTCCTTTCCTGTCTTAAAAGGTGGTGAGGCTGCGGAAACTGGCCCAGCAAGTCGCCAACTGCAAGCAATGCATAGAGAGATCCTCATCTCTCATCACCCAGGCTGAGCACACCCTCAAGGAGAGCGATCATGCTCGTTTCCTTCAAACAGCAAAAAACATCTCCGAGAGGTAAAATACAGGCTGGTGTCTTATTACATAATAATAATAAACTTTATTTTATATAGCGCCTTTAAAGGTGGCTTCTCAAAGCGCTTTACAAGATGACAACAACAATTAATAAGAAGAATACATAAGATAAAACACAATTACAATATATAGAGGGGACATAGATGGTGGTGCTAAGAAAAGCAGAGGGGTGAAGAATGGAACCAGTTAAGTAAAGGCTTTTCTGAAGAAGAGGGTTTTGAGTCTGGATTTGAAGGCGTTTAGAGAAGGTGACTCTCTGACATCCTTGGGGAGAGAGTTCCAGAGCTTGGGGGCATAACAGGAGAAGGCCCTGTCACCCATACAATGTAGACGGGCTTGGGGGACAGTAAGGAGAGCAGAATTTGAAGAGGTTGCGAGGTGGGGAGTAGGGCGATAATAGTTCAGACAGGTACTGAGGTGCCAACCCATGCAGAGCCTTCTTCTGCTTTGAGTCTTCTTCCTAGTAGTCAGTACAGCACCTCTGGTAAAAGCTCCAATTAAGTTGATGAAATTCAGCCCACACAAAGGGAAATATATATTTTTTTTAATTTAGAGAGCAGTTCTCTAAAAATGGCATTTTGTGATTCCACAAAAGGAATGCATGTTTGTAAGAATCTGTTACATAAGAACTCAACATGGCTGCATACTGTAGCTTGTCCCAAACTCCCACAATCCTGTACTTAGTTTTTTAATGTACAGTACCTCGTACCTGTTACCTTGCAGTTTTGCACTGTGGTTCATGTTTTACTGTTCATTCAGAATAAATCCATCAGATTGACTTTTTTAGTGTCTTTGAGGATTGTGGATACTTGTATCAGGTCCCCTTGTAATATTCTCTATTCAAGACTAAAAAGGTTCTTTCAACCTGTCAGTGTAGATCATTCCCTTAAGCTCTGGAATGTATCTGGTTACTCTTCTCTGGACAGATTCCAGAACAGCAACATCTTTTCTTTAATATGAGCAAAAAATTGCACACAGTATTCTAAATGAGGCCTTACTAGCAAATTATAATGGCCATATTTGTGGCAAACAGCAGTCTTTTCATACCATGGTCACAGGGTAAGTCATTGATGTGAAATCTGAAAAAGAAACAGGTCAGTTTTCTGCAACATTACTTCCGCTTCCAAATTTTAAGCTTGAAGAGTTACGCTTCTCTTTTTTTAGCAACACGAAATAAAAAATATTGAGTTAAAAAAATACTGGGCCAGAAAGATATCATACTTTAGACAACAAAGTATGTGAAAATATGTATCGAACATAGTTATGCTGCCCAAAGAATTAGTAGTCTTTGAGAAGTACAATTCTATAGTTTAATAATTGGACCATGACAATTTCATCAATAATACGTGTACATTGATTTCAGTGTATTTAAGTATTATAGATGCCTAAACTCTGAGCAAATATTTAAGGATTCAATCTTTTTTCAAAGGAAGTAATGAAGACCATTTCCCTAAAATATACTATTTCAGAGAAGGATACACTTTCCAATAAACCTCAGAATTATGCATTGTATTGGATAGACAAGAAAACATGGAATTATTGTTGTTTTGAGTTTCTCTCCTAGCAATAAAAATATGCTTTACCGCCCAGGGGAGATAAAATAGCTTTTAGATTTGTACCTCCATTCATTTTGCAACACATTGGCATTGATGATAAAAACAAAACCATATGTGACACCAGATGTGATTTTCTAGGGTCTATGACAAATAAAAAGCTGCAAGTCACTATGACAGTACCAAAGAGAACATCAAATCCTTCTCTTGTTCCATAAAACCTACAAACTATGAAGGAGAATTAAGCAATATAGCTAAAACTGTGGCCTATAAACGAAAATTTTGTCAGTACCAATCTGTGAACGTGGACAGAAAT